CCCCCCTCAAAATACTCCATTCATTCCAAAATTTCAATCTCACTTAATGTCTAAGAGTCCAAGAAATGAAGTTTGATCAAAAAAAATTTCAGTAGTAAGAATTTAAATTTGAAACAAAACTTTTGCCTTATTTTTTCAGAAAAAACTTTTCCGTTCTAAAACGAATTACATATTTATATCTTTCTATAATTAGAAATAATTTTAAGTATAAATTTTTTATTTATACTTAAGGACATAATTTACAGTCACAAAAATATGATTTAAAATCACAAGATTCAAAAGTTATTTTAAAAAAATTCATCTTTAGTCAAAAACACAAATTTTAATGGAAAAAATGCCATGGTTAAAAATTTCATCTTTAGTCAAAATAACAACGATCTGTTTTCTGTGTCAAAAGTGAATCTCTTCCGGAACATTCATTCGTTTCAAAAAGTGTGCAGTACTCGGTTTCTATCATATTTCTTGTTTCGTACTCCATTCTTTCTCTCCTCTCTACTCTATTAACTCCCATAGCTTTTTCTCCACTTCCAACAATGGCAACACCATTAATGGTTCTCGATCCAAAACCCTTACCGGAGCCACATCAACCCGACCCGACCCATCTATACACGACGTTCCCTCCGACGGCGAAGACGACCTCTACGCCCGCCTAAAATCTCTTCAACGGCAGCTGGAATTCATCTAGATCCAAGAGGAATACGTGAAGGACGAACTGAAAAATCTCCGGCGAGAGCACTTACGGGCACAGGAAGAAGTCAAACGGATTCAATCGGTGCCGTTAGTAATCGGTCAGTTCATGGAGATGATTGATACAAATAACGCTATTGTAGGGTCCACTACGGGATCTAATTACTACGTTAGAATACTCAGTACGATTAATCGTGAGCTACTTAAACCCTCGGCTTCGAATGCGCCTGTTGATGTTTTGCCTCCTGAAGCTGATTCGAGTATTTCTCTGCTTAGCCAATTGGAGAAGCCTGATGTTACCTATAGTGTAAGTGTGTATTATGCTTAATTTAACTGATTAAGATTTATATGTAATTCTGCTTATTAGGGCTTAAAAAAAAATGGCTGGAGTTCAAAGCTGATAAAGAAGGCTACAGGATATTTGTTAGCACGTGTTCCTAAACTCATCCTCTTTTCCGGGAACTTAATTTTCTTCAAAATTTGTTGTATTTATCAAAGTGTATAAGGGCAACTTATGTAATAAACTAAAGAAATACGGGCAAAAGTAAGTACATAAAGACAGGCATTTATCACTTTACCAAAAAGGACCCCAAAGGTGCATAATTTACGTAAGCGTTAAATAGAATGTGAATAATAAATGCTACACCTAGGGGTAGCAGTGACCTGCAAATTAACCACGTGACAGGGCAGGGAGTAATTATTACATCTGTTGTAGCTTTTGAAAATATAGGAGAAAGTAGAATTCTTTTGAAAATATCCTGTCAGCAAATTTATTTCGGCTTGAAAGTTTCTTTTGTTTCAAGTCCATTAAACCACTTTGCCCGAGCCATCTTTCTCCGGTAAGCTCCTTTCCGTCTCTTTCTCCGGCGACATTGGCCTGTATGTTTCTCTCTTTCCCTCCCCTTACCTCTTCCTCCAGAATCCCTCGTATGCATTCTTTCATAGGAACAAAAAACCCTAATCCAGAAATATAATTGGGTTGCAATTTGTTATATTTGTTCTACTGCATGAATTTTTTTCTCATTTATGAGTTGATCTGCGTTTTTTACCAAAAGATATGATGCCTTTTAGGATTAATGATAATTTTTTCTGAAATATTTTCGGAAAAAAGGCTAAGAGAAAATATGTTATGATAATTTCCTGTTCTTAGGTTAGACTCATATATCTTAAGAGCCCGTTTGGACATAAGAAGTTTTTCATTTTTTTTCAAAATTTTTTTACGTTTTATCGAAATGGGCGTTTGTTCATAAATTTCCAATTTTCACTTGAAGATGCATTTTGAAATTTTTCAAAAATTTGAAAAACTTCAAAAAGTTTCTTTTCAAAATTTTCGTCCCTTACAAAACTTCAAAAAACAACCCAAAATTTTATTTACGTCCAAACACAAATCTAATTTTTAAATACCATTTTAACTTGAAATTTTTTTTCACTTTTTTTTTGGAATTTTACAATTCTTATGTCCAAACGCCCACTAAATCATTTACTAAACCCTCCTAATTAATTAGCAAGTGAATGATTAATTTGAGTTTATGATTATCTCATATCTTAGCATGATTTTATATAATATAGTGGTGCTTGTCATCCCTATACCGTCAAATGAAAAATACATAGTAAAAACTATCTGTTATCTATTAAAAAACTAGCAATATGTGCCATGGGGCTTTAGCCTAGTGGTAAGAGCACATGTGTGGGTTTGGCGCACCTCGCGTGTTCGAACCATGCTATAAGAAAAGCTTGGTATTTACTTGGAGAAGGTAGAGGGGCATGCTCACCATCCATTGAGTTTCGAACTGTGTGCACTGGTCCTCGGACATTTCTTGTTTATAAAAAATGTCGAGTAATTTGTTTACCAAAGAATGTGCGGAGGAGGGGGAGGAGAGGTGGAAATGGATAGTAAATGTTGGTAAATAAGTAGGTGTTATCAAAGGCGCGCTTAAAGCGCACTTAAGCCCTAAAGCGAGGCTCAAACATGTTGAGCGCTTGACCTCGCTTAGCGGGCGCTTCAGTGTTGTGATCAAGGCTCTAAGACATACTGTTCTTTGCCAATGAGCGTAATCCTGAAGAGGTGAAACTAAGCATTGATATTTTTACTTTATCGTAGATTTTCATCAATTTCTTTGTCCTTATATTTGGTATCATGCTTATTGATATTAGTCTTGAACTACACATACATAATTGTATTTTTCTCCATTTGCGCCTTTGTTCATTAAAGCCCACGCTTTATTTCCACTTTGCGCTTAAAGCCCTAATAGACCTTAGAGCTTTTTTCCCCTTTTTGCCTTTGATAACACTAGTAGAACATTGTCAAAGGTTATTTTTGAACCACCAACTTGTTATTTAGGCCATTCGCGGCATTATCTGATATGAGTACCTTGTTTTTTTTAATTAAATGCTTGACGAGTGTTTTTCTCTTTTGTTGGTTCAGGGTAATCAATTTGACTGCAACTGCTCGAAGGATTGGGTCTCCTTGGGAAAATGAAGTAATGTCTTTTCTTGTTATGTAAATTCTATTTTCGATACATCTTGCATTCACTTAAAACTCAAATTCAGGTGCTAATAAATGTCACGTAGACAAGATGGAGAAAAGAAATACTGTACAAATATTACTCTCCTATAAGTAGCCTTCAGTAGACTGAATGTGCTCTTTAGCCCCAAAGCCTATGTGTTCATGCTTGTTCCTGTATCTTCCCTAGCGTGTTTAATAAGTTGAGTGAATTATTGCAAGCACATTTATTTTTGGGGTACGGGGTGATGCTAAATGTTGTGTTTGCATCATGATTTTAGTAGTAGTTTGATCTGTTCTTTCTGAAAAAACTGAGCTTATTTGTTTGCTTGCATTAGTACTGTTTGTAACGGAAATTTAATTGCTTTGAACATTTTGTCGTTGTGTAGAAGGCGAGCACATATACAGTGGGATGAGGAAAATTTGGGAGAAATGGAGGCAAATAAACCAGTGAGGCAGAAAATAACTGAACCAAAGACACCATATCACCGCATGATCGATATTGATGGTATGTTCGTGAAATTAATTCTTCTTTTTCCTTCGTACCCGTTTATCTCACTTGTCAATTTTTTGTGTCATGCAAGCTTCATGGATAGATCAAATAATGTGGTGACGTGTTGTCTTCCTGCTTTTCACATGCCGATCAATCTTTTTGAAAAACTTTTGATGCTTGATAAGTTTATGGATAGATGAAAATCGATTAGTGTATTGACCTGGTTTTATGCATTTGCTAGTCTTCTTTTTCTATCTTTTCCCAGGTGATTACTCATAGATCTTCTTTCTTTTCCTCCCTTTTGATTTGCTTCCATTAGAGTGATGATTTGGGAGGAAGTATCTTAAGATTTGAACTTATTTGGATCATTTGGCAGTAGTCTTGGAAATATTATAGAAGTTTCTTTATGTGGTGCTTATACTCATTTAGTGAATTTTGTTCATGCTACTGATGCATCTTGTATCTCTGTTGTTTAATTTGCTTTTTTATTGATGTTTAGGTTAGGGTGATTGTTTATTTTTCTCAAATTGCAAATTCCAAAGTTGATGTGTAGTCTTCTCAGTATCTCTACACCTTTGAAGTTTCTCATGTGGTGCTAAACCTTCTATAATGTGTTGGTGGTCGTATATTAAAGCTAATACCATTATATTTGGGTACTTGGAGCTTCAGGATCTGCTTCTCATATTGGCGTGATGTTTGTATATCATTATGTATGGGAAAATGGGGCTATCCAAAAACTACAAGAATTTCATTAAAATTTGATCTTACAAGAGAGATTTCCACCGCTTCATCAAACACATACACATTCTAGTATGTTTTTTCCTTTATTAGAGCCTAATCCTTGTTAGTTCGCTACAGTTCCTTACCTGCCATTAAGAGAATTAATTGACACTATTAGGGACATTTCACAATTTTATTTCTCTTAGCTTCTTTCCAATCCATTTCTTTTGCATTTGCAAGGGTCTCATATGCAGTGGCTAGGTAAAATATAATAGAGTTACTCTATGTAATTTACTAAACTGTGCGGATAATTTTTTTTTTTGACTTGGTATCGCCATGTTCATGGTGTAAGATTTCAGGAATTTAGGATATGGGCCATAGTGGGAGTAGATTTCGACATGTATGTTCCTTGGGGCAGATTTAGGCAGCCCTTCGGTTACCCTGCCCAAACTTCTAAAAGATCAATATTTTTACCTACAAACTTATAAAAATCATGAAAATCTTGCAAAAAAAAAAAAAAGTGTTCTCCTTCCCAATTTCTAACAAATTTTACATTAGTATGTTTTCTGTGTGGCTGTTACTCCTCCTTACAAGTCATGTGTCCACTTCATGAACTCAGGTAGAATATTAGACGAGTATGGATTCAAGGCAGTTATGTTGTTTTTTAAGTATATCTTGAAGGATCCATATGAAGGATCAACATGGCTATATTAAAGAAGGCATGAAGATTCCATGTAGTGTGGCTAATAGATGATCTTATAAAAAGAAAACATGTGGCTAATAAATGATGTATCTTAGTGCTCCTGCTTTTTGGTGAACAATCATTAATTCATCTGTATTTGGAGAGAAATGTTTATGTCTCTATAAACTGATAGCTAATATTGCTTAAATCTCTATATCATAAAAATATTGCTTAAACCTGTGCAAGTTTATTTGTCCTCCTCACTTTTGTTGACTTTGTTGTTGTTGTAGGATCTTTATCTCCTATACGAGGTAGTTTTGAGAAAGGCAATGGTGATGCAGTACATGCAGAAGCTATACGCAGTGCATTGAATGAGGTGGTTTCTTCCAGTAAGAATAAATCCCAACTGTCGGGCTAGACATCATCTGAGGATGAAGCTGATGTCATGGACCAAGATGATGCAGGTTTAGTTTTATTTGTTCGTATACAACCCAAATATATGTTGGTTCTTGTTTCTAACTCTTTTTGAGTAACTTCTGGTGTATTTATTTAGCAATATTTCATGCTTTCAAGTTAATATTTTTTAAATAATTTATTGAAATGGTTCAAGCATATATATTTTGTTATTAGATACATATGGAGAACGTCAAAAGCAACTTCTTATATCTCAACTTGAATTGTGGGAAGTTTCACTTGAAGATCTGTATAAGATGTTGAATTCCAATTATATAGTTGTGCCTAAGAGGATGACAATTGTGACTGCGAGAAACATTTGTATGTTATCTGATTATTTTTTTTCCCGTTGTTTGCTTTACATCCGCGTTGCTTTGTAGTGCAGATGACATGATATTTGGCGCAATTAGAAGTAGATGTCAGACTTGCAATGAAATTTTGCATTTTGATGGATCAAAATTTTCGTGTCTTGCAAATTCGTTATGTCGAGGTGAATGTCTTTATTTTCTTTTAAAGGTCAAGAGGGCAGCCACTCCATGGAGAGTGCCACAAAATATAGAAAATGGAGAGTTGGTGCAGGTATTCAGAACTAGTGCGATCTTCTTTTCTTTTTCAAATTTCCAACGCAACAGTGGTCTTGCATTCTTTTTCCAGTGGCAGCAAGTCCGCCAAAAGTACGTACAAGAGTTTTATTTTGATGATACGTTGAAGCAACAAAGAATAAACGTGATAGGGAAGATAGATCTTTACAAAGATATAGTTTTTGGAGGGCGTTATAAGATTCAAGATAATCATAAATGCTTTCTGGTCGGCCAAGATGATTTTCTTGGTAAAGAAAGGTACTTTTCTTTAACGGCATAGAGATTATATAAATTTCTTTCACTTTGTTTTACCATATTTTTTTACATCATATGTTAATAAAGACTATGTTGTTGTAGATATCTTTTTGCTCTAGTCTTTGAGCCGGAGAGTACGGAGAATACGGAACCTGAACCTTTGTACAGCTTTCTTAGAAGGGAGAAGATTTACCGAAAGGAAGCTGATCCTGTTTTATTGGAGAATCTTTCACTTCCAGAAGCAATAGAAAGGTTTGAAGAAACATTTTATTTTGCTACTGGAAATATATGGAAGGCGGGGATTCACAAAACATTTGTAGGACATCTGAATTTGCAAGACACGGATGTCTCACAAATGTTTTGTGAATCCCCACCTTCCATACATTTCCAGTAGCAGAGTAAAATGTTTCTTCTAACCTTTCTATTGCTTCTGGAGTGAAAGATTCTCCAATAAAACAGGATCAGCTTCCTTTCGGTAAATCTTCTCCCTTCTAAGAAAGCTGTGCAAAGGTTCAGGTTCCGTATTCTCCGTACTCTCTGGCTCGAAGACTAGAGCAAAAAGATACCTACAACAACATAGTCTTTATTAATGTATGACATAAAAAATATGGTAAAACAAAGTGACAAGAAATTTATATAATTCTCTATGTCGTTAAAGAAAAGTACCTTTTTTTACCAATAAAATCATCTTGACTGTCAGAAAGCATTTATGATTATCTTAAATCTTATAACGCCCTCCAAAAATTATATCTTCGTAAAGATCTATCTTCCCTATCACGTTTATTCTATGTTGCTTCAACGTATCATCAAAATAAGACTCTTGTATGTAGTTTTGGCGGACTTGCTGCCACTGGAAAAAGAATGCATGACCATTGTTGCGTTGGAAATTTGAAAGAGAAAAGAAGATCGCACTAGTTCTGAATACCTGCACCAACTCTCCATTTTCTATACTTTCTGGCACTCTCCATGGAGTGGTTGCCCTCTTGACCTTTAAAAGAAAATATAGGCATTTACCCCGACGTAACGAATTTGCAAGAAACGGAAATTTTGATCCATCAAAATGCAAAATTTCATTGCAAGTCTGACATCTGCTTCTAATTGCGCCAAATACCATGCCATCTGCACTATAAAGCAACGCGGATATAAAACAAACAGCGAAAAAAAGTAAATAATCAGATAACATACCAGATGTTTCTCGCAGTCACAATTGTCATCCTCTTATGCAACTATATAATTGGAATTCAACATCTTATACAGGTCTTCAAGTGAGACTTCCCATGATTCAAGTTGAGATATAAGAAGTTTCTTTTGGCGTTTTTTCCAAATGTATCTAATAATAAAATATATATGCTTGAACCATTTCAATAAATTATTTAAATATTACTAATTTGAAAGCATGAAATATTCCTGAATAAATCCATCCGAAGTCACTCAAAAAGAGTAAGAAATAAGAACCAACGTATATTTGGGTTATATACGGACAGATAAAACTAAACCTGCATCATCTTGGTCCACGATATCAGCTTCATCCTCAGATGATGTCCAGCCAGCCCGTTGGGATATATTCTTACTGGAAGAAGCCACCTCATTCAATGCATTGCGTATAGCCTCTACATGTACTACAATATTAGCTATCAGTTTACAGATACATAAATATTTCTTCGAAATACAGATGAATTAATGAATGTTCACCAAAAAGCAGGAGCACTAAGGTACATCATCTATTAGCCACATTTTTTTTTGGATAAGATCATCTATTAGCCACACTACATGGAATTTTCATGCCTTCTTTAATATAGCCATGTTGATTCTTCATATGGATCCTTCAAGATATACTTAAAAAACAACATAGCCGCCTTGAATCCATACTCGTCTAATATTCTACCTGAGTTCATGCAGTGGACACAAGACTTGTAAGGAGGAGTAATCCACAAGACTTGTAAGGAGGAGTAATAGCTATACAGAAAATATACTAATGTAAAATTTGTTAGAAACTAGGAAGGAGAACACTTATTTTTTGCAGGATTTTTATAAGTTTGTAGGTTAAAATATTGATTTTTTAGAAGTTTGGGTAGGGTGACCGAAGGGCTGCCTAAATCTGCCCAATTTTCTCGAGCAACAAGATTCTGTTGATTGTAATTTGTCATTTCTCCTCCGAAAAGCTCACAAGGCTTTTGATAAAAGAAAGTCTAAACATGTTAGTTGGAAATTCAAGTGTATTGTGTTTTCTTAGTTTTTTGATAATTGTTGCTTGCATAGTGAACCTTTTTTTTTTTTTTGTCAATATGAGGTAGTCATGTCCCCAAATAAAATGGGAAAGTGAAAGACCTTAGAGTTTTCGACAAGGCACTGCAAGGGCCATTTGTGACAAGGCACTGCAAGGGCCATTTGTGACTAAGGAGCAGACATTATGGAATTAGGTGATCACGGAAAATATATGTTGTAAAAGGGGATGGATGACTTAACTCACATTACCATTCTACTGCAGACTATGGAGAACCAACATGGAGTGGGAAGACTTAAGCATTATCATCATTTATAGAGTAGGGGATGCAGGTAGAGTCAGTTTTCGAGGTCACATATAGTGTAGAGATAGCGCAACGGGTATCTCTTTTCCAAACACATACAGGGTCTCAAGCTAGAGAGAGCTGATAATATTATAGATCTAGAGGACATAAGAGGAGTGAGCTAACTGAACCTGTGGTTTATGGTGAATTATGAGATTGGGAGATTGTTTAACACATGCTAGCTAGGACCTGTAAAAGTGCGAGGCTAGGAGAGATGGAATGTTCTCAGTAAAGTATTGCCATCGCTTCTAGGTGAGGGACAAGTTAGACTTTTCACACTTAATCCATTTGGATAACCAACATAGCTAGAAAAACGTGGCTTTCTGCATGGTTTGCAACAAAGAGAGATATTGACAGCTAAGAACTTGAGAAAAAGAAATATTACATATGTTAGTCGGTGCTATATGTATAGATGCTCAGGTGAGGATGTGGATCTTCCTCTTGGTTGTATTTTCAGGAGGCAACACAATTGTATGGGTGGTATTGAACTGGTTCAGGGTTCAATATACCATGTCGTGATAAGTGAAGTTTGTACTGCATATTCCAAAAATTAAGAAACTACTGCATAGCAGTCTTTAGATGAATGAAGAGAAGATCTACCACATGTGATGCTGACCCATAGTCCTTATGTGGGTTCGGTGGATGGAGAGAAATAAGAGAGTTTTTAAGGGATTAGAGAATGACTTTATACATTTGTGGAATATTCTGTTGTTAGTTAACTTTTGGAGTGCCCATGAAGTCCCTGTGTGTAATTAAGATTAGTTCTCTTTAGTAGAGAACCATATCTCTAGATAAGCTCTTTAGTGTTTGGTTTATTACTTGTATTTGAGATTTTTCCAGGCAAGAGAGGTTAGCTCAAGGGGAAAGCACCTCCACCTCCAACCTTAAGGTTGTGGGTTTGAGTCGCCAAGGGAACAAATTACCATATTAAAAAAAAGAAGAGTTTTTCACATTTATAAAATCACTTATCTTGGAAAAAAAAAGCTTTGTAATTATTACGTCAAGTTATGTCATCTTATTATGAAGGTTCTCAGTTTTGAAAACTGCTTCACTGTTACTTGATGATTCTATAGCCTTTTGGGTCAATTACTAATTTGACATTTATAATGCAAGTTTGCGGTCATAAAGTCAAACAAGTACAACACAAGAATAAGGGATCTCTCCAAGCAGACTAGTGTATCTGGTATCATGCGTATTCAATAAAGTAGGGAATGTAATTTTGCCATACTATAATGCTGATTAGTTTTGCAGTTCTTTTTCCTCATACCCCTTGTCCCATTTTATTTTACAAGTACCCCTTTCACCTCTTGCCATCAACAAACCAGAACAACCTTTGCTCACATTTCAAATGAAAATCATTGAACTTAATTCATGGATAGTGTTGAATGTGTTTGATTATTTCATATAAAAGTTTAAACTATTAGAGAGAACACATTATTATTTATTTAATTATGTATTGAACATACCCTCACATGCTGGCATGAACTCAGGACTTTTACCTACTTTGATAAGATGTTGCATAGACAGAATTTACTTTATTTTATTTAACTATATTTTCAACTGATAGAATCAACGTTTCCTCCTCCATGCTTGTTAGTCTATAGGAGAAGTATATTTTAGGTAATCAATTAACTTTTGTTATTGACATTTTCTACATGTCAAAATGCATTTGGTATTTTCAGAAAAATATATCAGAAGGTGAGGTCTCATCTATATGTTTTTTTTTAATTGGAACATTACGCAAATGTGAAAGGCAAAATACATAAACGGGCACTCAAACTTGGCCCCAGTTGTCAGTTTGACACTTAAACTTACTTAATGATCAAGTAGACGCTCGGATCTGACCTGACACAGTGCGTGTGTTGTGTTGTCTTCACATTTGAGCGTGTGAGATGTTATATCAAAGCCTTTTCCAACTAAAAAAGTTAGTGATATTCCATTTTTACCCTTATAATCTACCTCTATTTCATTTCTAATGTCCCTCTCCCATCCTTCTCCATTTTTTATTCTTCTCTCAACACTCTCTTCCCCTTCCACCAATGAAGCCTTAAACTCTTCATCACCATTAAACCCCTCTTCAACCGGGCAAAATTTCTTCGCTCTCTAATTGCTTTTTTTTCCCTTTCCTGATTAACCCACTACTACTCTATCTCCCTCCATTTATTTATATTTGTTATACCATGATAGGGATAAAGGACTAAAAAATTTATTTGTTAATTATAGAAAGCAAAACTTATATAAGATAAGGATTACAGTAGAGTTGGAGAGGTTTGAATGAAGAAACAAAGAAGGGGGGAGGATGAGGGGAAGAAGCAGTGGGAACGGGCGACGAAGAAGAGGAAAGCTGGGATCTGTGGGGTAGGTGAGGGTCTCTTTTAGATGTTTTTCTTCTTTTTTTTTCATCTAAACATATCTTTTTTTTTTACATGTGTCACTTTGTTATTTGTTACTTTGCCACATCACTCGCACTCGTAGTACACGCATGAGGTTTGTTGGATTGGGGTGTGTAAGAGACACACCTGTGTCAAGTTAAGGTGTCTATTTGATCAAGTTTAAGTGTCAAAGTGACACTTGAAACCAAGTTTGAGTGTCTGTTTTATGTATTTTGATAATGGGAAACTACTGTGATGCCGCTTTCTTGATCTTTTTATATCTTCTCCTGTCCACTTGGAATGATAACATAATGTCTTATTTTATAAATTAGTCGATCTATATATCCTCCATGTAATTGTGTAATTAGGAATAACAATTATTTTTTCTTCCTTTTTGCATTACTTGTATTCACTATTTAAATCTGGACATACTTTGAGGAATAATCAAGCAATGCATCCCCATAGAAAAGCCATATGTTTCCTTTTTTTTTTTTGTGGCATGTGTCCCGCTATTTAATAAAGTAACAATTAATTTCACATGTATCTTAATAAGGATTTCCTAGAGTTAAATCTATTCTTGCCAATTTTCTATTTATTAAGAATTAGTTAATTATTAATATGACAAGCGTCTATTTCTTGTAAGTATGGGATCGATCTAAAATCCATGTACCTGCATAATAAGTAATAAGAATTACTTTTTTTCCTTTTTTGAAATCATCAACATGATTGAGGTGATAATCTTATAATTCAATTCCAACAGATTGAGGGAATCTGGTCCATTCCATGAGGATACGGGTCTAAGTAACTTAAGGCAACCTTCTCACCCTCCAGTTCTGCCGGAAATGCAACAAAAATCTTGTTCCATATCTCCATCCAGTGTTGCAGGCTTAAGGCCCGGACCAGCTAAGTCCGTTCAGGGTGCGTCACCCGGTTCAAATTCTTATCTACGACAATTGCAAGTTGTAAATTGTTATATTTTACTTCATTTTGGTTCCTGTATTTCTTTGACCCATAAAATCAGAGAGCAACCTTCATCTTTATAGAAATTGTTCTGCATTGGATCATTTTTAGTCGTTTGACGATCAGATTTGCTTGATATAAATTGCGCTAGTATAACCCTCATTATTTTTTTCTATACTGCAATCATCGAGTCTAATAGGAATATTCTCTGCAATTGCTCTTGAAAATACAAAAAAGGATTTAGAAACTTTTGCTTTTCTTGCTGGTTTACCTTTAATGAGCAAAATGCTTAGTGTGAAATTTTTAAGCTCTATTTATCTGTTGTCCCATATGCGTGGTATTAATGTTTTGTATTTCTTAATATCCAGAGAGGCAATGATTTTTGCGTCACTACTGTTATAGTCCCAAAGCAGAAGTCGACTTCAAATACTATAAGATAGAATTGTATGTTTCATCTGTTAGGATATACTAGAGTTATGCATACGCTTAACCTCTAACATTCAGAAAGCAGACTGACCGTCCATCAGGTAGAAAAAGTAAAAGTATTGCATGGAAGCGTCTTTGCATTGTGAACTTGAAAAACCTGAACCAAGCTTGTAAATTTCAGGAGCTTTGGCTGTTAGGATAACTTATCAAATTTCGTTTTTGATTTGAATAACCTCAAATGTGTTGAATTTTGTGTAAAAAGTGCTCATTGTATTTTAAATTCCGTCTTTTCAGAATCAAAGTTTAGGAGAAAGGTGAGAAATAATAACATTAGTTGGTAGTCTCTGGGTTTGATGCACTTATAAAAGAGAACTACAATTTTTTTTTAAAAGTTTATGCGTTGCTGCTTTATAACTACAAAGAAAATAGTTCATTCAAGTTTAAGAATAAAATTACTCAGGTATATACTTAGATAGCAATGCTTTTGATGTCATATGGAGTGGGTTTACATGTTACTGAAACACTACTTTTGATAACCAGTGTGAGACATTGCATGAAGAAGAATATCATCCTGTTCTTCAGAGGCTCAATGTCACTATTCTTGGTTCGATACATGTAAGTATCACCACAAGTAGTGTTCTACATGTTTAGTCAATTTCGGTGCATTTTATTATTTAATATGAACTTTTCACCAGTGAAGTGCTTATGTTGTATATGGAATTGAGTTTAGTAGATGAATATCTTTCAGCTGACATAATGATATGCTTCCTTGGAATTGTTTGAATATGTTAAACGATGCCTTCATTAAAATATGTACTCCTGTCTCAGTCTTGCACGAGTTTGCAGTGCTGCTATTCTGCAGCTATCTTTAAAGACTTGGCTATCATTTTTCTACATAGAGATTCTTGATTATAACTTGTTTTAACCAATCATATCTTTTTGTTGTTCACTTGATCATTATTTAACTCTAAAGCTACTTCATTTGTGATGCATAATAGGTAAACTCTCTTATTGTATGTTGACTAGGTTGATGGCAGGGGCGGAGCCAGGATTTCAAACTTATGGATTCGGGATCCTAATTCTTTTAAGTTACTGGTTTTTAATTAATAATTTGTACACTACCCTCCCCAGACTCCACTTGTGGGATTCCATTGGATGGTTGTTGTTGTTGTTGTTGTATTTAATTAAAATTTTAAGACAAATACATGATTTGAACCAAAGCTAGCCGTCATTGTGGCTCCGCCTCTGGTTGATGGTTCTAATTCACTCGTTTATGTTCCAAAATGTTATTGCTATTCTAGTGACTATTTTATATTTTTAAAGATTGTTGGCTGTTCCTGAATTTTCACTGTTTTTTGTGAAAAGTTTGTTGTGTCATTTTTGCTTAAGATTAATCTATGCTCTCCGCATGTCTTGCCTTTCTTAAGCTTTCTTAATCAGCTGCATGTACTGGTAGCAATTAGCTATAAAATCAGATGCATGTAATGATAGGAAATAAGCAATCCTAGACTTCTTTGTCTTGCTTTCAAGATGTAGTGCCAATTCTTCTTGTGTTTTGGTTTAGAGGTCAGTTCATGTCAGATACTAACCACGTGATAATAAATAATCCAGCTTGTGTAGCTTTGGCCTTTCATTTTTGTATTTGCCCTTGGTTTGTATAATGTCCCACATCGAGTATAAATATCATCCAAAGAAACTAACAAATTGTAACTCTCCTCCAACAAGATAGAACAACACTTACACCTTAGAGAGATTTCTTTGCAGGTATTTAAGTTATATGCAGTGACAATGTAATGGATTTTGACACCATCATTGTAATTTAACATTTTGTAATCGGTTACTTACCGTTTATTGCACGTTACTAATTAATACTTGTTGGACAGAGTGAGTTAGCTGCAATTACCTTTTAAATGACCTGATCGTTTAAATATTTTCTACACTGACAATGCATCAATGTATGCAACTTAAACTCATGAATGACTATGCCTCGATCAAACTAGTTGGAGTTGGCTGGCCCCAGGCTTTGGTATAGTGAAATGAGCTTAGTGCGTGTTTTGTCGGTTAGGTGCATGTCACAGGTTTGAACCATGTCGCAGACAAAAGCGTGGTGTTTAAGTGGGGAATGGTAGAGGAGCGGACTCATTTTCCGCCGAGTTTGGAGCCTTGCGCCATTGGCCCTCTGGTTATTAAAAAAAAAAAGTTGGAGTTTGGCTATATGAATCTGATTCATAGTTAGACTATTTTTAAGCTTCCATCAACCTATTCCAACACTCCCATTTCATCTGGTTATGCTTTTGTGAAGCTCACATAGGCAGAGTTAGGTAAAAGACACTTTTTTGCTTGCACCAGCTGGGAAATAAATTGGTTTTTGTTGATATTGCTTTTTGTGAAGGATGCAGTGACATCTATTGTATCTAATCTACTTTGGTTTGAGAAGGGGTTATAGAGAAACACCTGAATTTGCAATTGTGAAGAGCGATCTGACTTGTTTTTTCATTGCATTCTATGGTCTAAGGGCTGATTCTTGACTAGAACTTTTACTGTCATTATTGAGTCAAGTTTGATTGTTCATATTTTTCTGTTAAAGTGGGTGCCCAAGTTTGCCTATGCTCCTGTAAGATGGTTAGAAGAGAATCCGGCTATAAATACAACAATATACCCAGTAATATCCCACACTGTGGGGTCTGGGGAGGGTAGTGTGTACGCAGACCTTACCCCAACCTTGTGAGTAGGGGTGTACATAGGTCGGGTTGGTTCGGATTTTCTAATTGCCAAACCAAACCAATTGTATCGGGTTATTAAAATTAAATACCAAACCAAACCAATAAAAGTCGGATTTTTTAATCTCGAGTTTTTTCGGTTTTTTCGGATTTTCGGTTTTTTTTCTCATAAAGTCTTCATAGCATAAAACGTAAAATTTTTGCTCCAAATATTTCTTTAATCCTAGTAAGACATAAGTATATAAGGTGTTTTCAATGAAATAACATAAATATGAGATGAGTCATGGCATTGTATTAAAATATTCAACAATAAAGATAAGCAAAATCGCATAAAATAAATATTATTAATAAGCCATATTGAAAACAAACATAATTTAAAATTATGACTAATAAGTACTGTTATTTACCTAACTAACCATTAAAAGAAACATAAGCTATACATTTTATCTAAACAATGAAAAAAAATAAAAAATAGATATCCAACACTATTTTCATTCATAGTACAATCGAATTGAATGTCTTTAATTAGCATTAGTATTGATTTGATTTTGGTTTAAGATTTATTTGAGTTACTAACATTTATGTACATTAAAACTTATTGGAGCATCCAAAAATTATAAGCCCAAGTTTGAAATAATACGCTAAAAGATAAAATTATGAAAAAGCTTAAGAAATATTTATAAACTACACTACCATAAATATTTTTATGTATTAAATATATTTAAAACTTCTATACATATAAAGTCGGGTTGGTTTGGTTCGGTTTGACTTTTTTTAGTTAAAACCAAACCAAAGTCGGGTTTTTTTTTTTCCAACACCAAACCAAATCAAACCAAACCATAGTCGGGTTTTTTTTCTCGGTTTGACTCGGATTATCGGGTTGGTGCGGTTTGTCGGTTTGATTTGTACACCCCTACTTGTGAGGATAGAGAGGTTGTTTTCAATAGACCCTCGGCTCAGGAAAGCATAAGCACTACATTAATGAAAATATAGGCAATAAAAAAAACAAGACAGTAAGGTGATCAACAATGAAAGAAATAACAGTTATAAAATCCTACTACCAATAGAAAGCGAGACTGCATGCCAATACTACTGTTATGATCACTCTAGACTACCTACTCTACTACCCTAATCCTCGACCTCCATATCTTCCTATCAAGGGCCATGTCCTCGGTCAGCTGAAGCTACGCCATGTCTTGCCTAATCACCTTTCCCCTCCTCTTCTTTGGTCTACCTCTACCTCTCCGTAGGCCCTCCAATGTCAACATCTCACACCTCCTCACGCATAATATATTGGAGTTCCAGCAAGTATATTGGTCCAGTATAATATACTGGAGTTTGGAGCACCGATGCTCCAGTCTCCAGTAATATTATACTGGAGCCAGCAAAGTATACCGGTCCAACATAATATGCTGGAGTTCATACACAAGTGCACCGAACTCCAGTATATTATGCTGGACCGGTCTCTAGTGCAGCAAAATAGTGGCTATTTTTCATTGACTTAGTAAACGCTGGCTATTTTTGATTGACCAGTCCGAAAACTGGCTATACCGTGCTATTTTTACGTAAAAATTTGATTCTAAGAATATTACTATTACTATTACTATTTCGACTATAAAGATGTATCAGTCGACAGTGAACTTTCAGTAGTTTTGTGTTCAATTTCCTTACCTCAGAAATAATTTGGCATTCCAGCTTACCTGTCATGATGCTTCTCTCGCCATAAAGCCCGATTTTGAACGATTCCAGTCTGTTGTTATTACCTCGGGGGCCCTCGGTATTTGTGTTATTTGTCTTAAATTTCAGTGATCAGCTTCCAGTAAGCACAAAGTATGATCTGAGAAGTGATCCTGGCGTTGAGAAAAATTATGGGAAGTTTTTGCTAGAAATGATCTCTGTCGTTCCAGATGGCGTTGTCTGCTTCTTTTTCAGTTACTCTTATATGGATGGAATCGTCAACTTTCTAAAATGGGAAACCGATCTTTGGACTAGAATGATTTTAAAGTTTTTGGGCTGAAGACTTGGATTCTTTTATATGGTACAAAAGACCTTTCTTATTTTACTTTCTCAAATATAGAGCATCGATTCTCTTGTTGCCTTCCCGCTCTTGAACTTGTAAATTTGCATATAATTTCACATATGAAGATGTGTCCCAGCCCGGAGCACTAAGCTCCTGCTATGTGCGGGTTCTGGAGAAGGGTCAGACCACAAGGGTCTATTGTACGCAGTTTTACCCTGCATTTCTACAAGAGGCTGTTTCCACGGCTCGAACCGTGACCTCCTGGTCACATAGGAGCAACAAAAGCAGAAAACTATAGGTGACAATTGTAAAGAAGTCAAAACTGCACCAGTATACCTTCAACGTTCATTTTGAATGGTAATTAACTGTGCAGTTCAAATACAAATGAGGTGTTTGCCAAGAGTGGTATTACCTCCTAACCAACAATCTGGACATCATAAAAGTACACCATATAACTCTATTTAAGACACTAATAGTGACAACTATTAAAAAACTACAAAAGGCCAACTGACACAGAATAGTACAAGCCAAGAAAGGAAGGCTAATGAGAACAAAAAGTTCCTAAGAAACAAATTCCTATAAGAAAATAATGCCAAGAAACAAATTCCTATAAGAAAATAATGCCTTAGGACCCTTCCATGAGCCAAAGGAGAATAATTAAAAACTACTGAAACGATTCGCCACTGCCTTTGAGTTTGAGGAACCGCTACACTGGGCAAGACGACGACAAGTAGGCAAAAATAAAGAAAAAGAGATTTCTGCCTCTTCATCTCTTTGTGAAATGAAAAACAGGTAATGCACAATCCAAGTGTCGCAAGGTCCAAACTCCAAAACCTGTATTAACAGCTGATGCACGTAAATCCCTGCAAATAAAATAGATCCAGCACCTCTCAGATAAAGCAGAAAGACAAAGAGAGTAACAATGTTATCATATTAAAGACAGTTGTGGTTGCTCCAGTGGCGAGAGCACTCTAATTCCAACAAAGAGGTTGGAAGTTCGAGTCATCAAGGGAACAAAGTGGGAAAGTCGCGCACTGTTGTTTATGTAGAGTGGTTTTGGGGGCGGGGGCTGGAATTTACTATGTCAAGAAAAGGGGAAAAGAAGGAATCAGCACAGCATTCCATGCTAATAAATGAGCTAACCTTACTTGATACTTCATTTACAAGTGTCAGTATTAATGCGGTGAAACCTCAGCGAAGTTCTCAATACAATCAGCTTTTAGCAAGAAATTATGCACAGGCAACTGTTAAAGCCTTTCCAATGAAGATTTCACGGAAGGTGCAAGGGTTTTCACGACGTACATTAGACGTACATGACCCTTATTATGAGGGTACCTGTCAATGAATACTAGCAAGGGTGATGGAGTAGGTTCATTGTTTTGGAGTACTGTTCAATAGATTCACTCCAGTGCGGGATAAGCAAGTGTTTAACAGGTCACAGAATACGGAAAAAGCTGAACTCGTAAACACCAGGCTACTTCCACAAATATGTGAACTCAATGGAAAGGAAAACCATAAAAGTAACAATACGTCTTTCTGGCTATAGGAATCTATGTCGGAAAATCGTTATTCAATTTCTTTGCCACATGAAGGAACTTTTGCAGGTACTGGACCATATTTTTTGCACGGATGTGTAAAGTGCTAATTCATAGAATCAAGTATTACTGCAGCCTGACAACTCCAAGACTAGAGTAATAGACTTTAAAGCACAATCTGAAGAATTAAATGAGCTGAAAAAGGGTCTGAAAAGGGGTCTAGAACTTGGAGATGTTGAGATCAAAAAATAAACCCGCTAGGGGAAAACTAATCTTTCCCCTTTCCCCACCTACCTAGGGAATAAACAGAAGACACTAATCTGATTAAAACTTGAATAAAGAAAAGTTGCAACAGAGAATAAAAATTCAAATACAAACTCAAAACAGCAGCTATTTAGCAACTTAGTAACAGTAGGCGTTAAGAGTACCCACTATACAACAGTAGCATGAATTATTTCTTAGTCATTTCGATCTTAGATACTAATATAGGCCTTCATATTTGAGATAAAAGCTCCAACAATGAACAAGAATTATGATAGACAATTGCAGCTCTCCATGACACAAAATTTTCCACAAGCATTAAACACTCACCCGTAATTAAGCACATATAACCATGAATTTTTATGTAATACTTATACAAACTGTTTCGGGCCAAGATTTTCAGGGTCTAGCTTAGAGATCTCAGAACCTAATATTTCTTTATAAAGTAACATTTTATCAAACATTTTCTTGTTTGATACTGTATACTTTGCTTTACAGTATCAAACAAGAACATAACTTCAGGAGTGTTTAAAATATTCTTGTGATTCATCTCTAACCACTAACAACAGTTCTATCTGCATATTGTAGAATTGGTAAAAATGAATGCCTCTGTTAATGAAAGGATATTTACCTTCCCAGTGAGTATAAGCACAGACAGGGTGCAACAGCAGCGGTAATAGCGAGTTTCTTTCTTCATTCCTCTGACACCATAACAAGACCTCATGCTAATTCAAGGGCATGATACAGCTTGGAAACTCGTCGACGAAGCAATGGTTCCAACCTGAAAGAAGGTACGCCTCTTTCCCACCTTCTTGCTTCATACATCTCATTCCATGCCTGTACAATTTCATCAATATTGAATCCCAGCCCTACAAAAAACAATGAATGTCAGAGACATTTGAAATAATTTTGAAAAAAGCCACTGAATAGTAAACAATTTTAAGGTAATATTTTCCAGTTTCACCTTCTGTTGCAGTATTGTTGGAAGAATGATTCTTTATCATAACAGCAATATCTGTTGGAGAAGCTCCGGCCAATTCAAATTTTTCAACAGCAACCTCCAAAGATTCATGCCAGAGCGGAAGCCCGAGTTTGAACTCCATAAGTGATCGTTCGTATAGCATTGTACCCCATAGTAAATTTATCTGAGATCTCATATTTGCAGCTTGCTCAGTAGCTTCATCTGCAGATATTCCTTTGAACAAATTCTCCGTCTTCATCTTCTGTGAAAGGATTTTGTCGGGACTTGATAGTTCGTTGAGACGCTGCTCCTCTGCGTCCTCCCACATCTGCATACCTCTTTCCATATTTTCCTCAGCACTGTTGTAAAGCTGCAGAACTTCTGTAGAAGGCCAAGAATCCAAATCGACACCAGTGCTAATCGCATAATACCAAGAAAGTTTTGCCTGCTCAAACTGTTGCTGCCCCAGAGCAAGAACACCTTCATAAAAATTTGGTTTGATCTTCAGTGCCTCCTCATATCTCTCTCCTGCTTTTGAATATTCCTTTTGAGCCCAATCATAAGCAAATTTTACCTGTGCAAGCAAAGATTCTCCGGAACTATCTTCTTTCAAATAGACCCTTTTCCGTGCCCTAGACATATGAACATTACCCCAGTTGAACAATGCCAAAGCAGCCATCTCCTGGAATGTTTCTCCGGCTGTGCTGAAAAGGCATTGAGCTTCTTCACTTGTAACTGCCTCTTCCAAAGCCTCAGAGTATAGCTTCATTCCGACTTCATGGAGATCCAGATAAGCATCGGACTCAAATCCAACATAGTTCTTGAACAAATTAGAGAACTGGAAGATCCAATCATCAATGCAAACTGGTCCATTTTCCTTGCTTTTTTCAGCATACCCATTTTCAACAATCTGATTATGTCGCGCGCTGTATTTATGTTCGTCTTCCTCCCTTTTGATCTTCTCATAGAACGGATCCTGCTCCGGATTAACTTCCACGATATAGAATCTTACGGAACCATGTTGAACAGAAGCTTCAGCCCATCTTAACTCCTCATTTGTTGTCACTGTAACCAGGTCACCTTCTTGGTCCCTATACTTGATTAGAACTGCTTTTAAGTTCGGGAATCGATCACCTATGACCTCCCTCAGTGTCAAGATGCTGCAGTTCAGAGGAACTTGAGCCCATCTTATGTCTTCCCCAAATACTAATTTCACTGTTCTTTTTGGCTCTTCTTCTGTGGTACGACTGAGAATTTCCTCCATCACCAATTTATCTTCAGTTTGCCTCTCCTCATTGTCCTCGTCTTTATTCTCCTCCTGCTTATCCTTGGCCTTATTTACCTCGATCTCGTTCTTACTCTTCTTTTCCTTACTCTTGTCTTTAGCTTTCTTTCTGTTGGTCTTGTTCTCAGCTTTCTTCCCCTCCATCTTGTCGTCAATCTTTTCTTCCTGAGTCTGATCTTTATCCTTATTTTCTTCAATCCTTATCTCAAGTTTCATCTCCTCGACTTTCCCGTCCTTATTCTCAGCGTTCTTTTCCTCGTTCCTGTTATCAGCTTGCTTTAAATCGATTTGGTTGTCTAATCCCTTTTCTTCAGCCTTGCCATTAACCATCTCCTCCTCTACTTTCTTGTTTTTCTTCTTCTGTGCCTTCTCTTTAGATGATTTCGACAGACTTGAAGCAAAAGGTAGTTCAACATATTCAGGTACCGGAATTAAATCTATAGGAACGTCATTCGCTCCAATGCCTTTTTGCTCAATGGTTGTTTTCACCCTCTCTGCAATCTCAATAGCCATGAGATTATTCGGTTCCATCTCCAGCACTCTATTAACATCTCTCTGTGCCAAATCCAACCTATTCAGCGCCTCATAACACCTAGCTCTCTTCATAAGTGCCTTACTATATTTCGGTGTAACTTCAAGAGCCAAATTACACTCGTGGATCGCCCTAGGATATTCACTAAGTCCCATTTGCATATAACAAGCGGCTATATTACTACGAAGGTAGGATACGTCTATGTGGTTCCGCGGAAGCAATTTTATAGCTTTGTCATACTTCAGCATAGCTCCTTCATAATCCCTCTTTTGAAATAGCTTATTCCCCTCATCCTTAAGTTCATGAGACATTGCAATGAAAACTGCTGTGTCCTTATCAAATCGCCTCGGGCTATTATTTTCACCAACTTTGTTTTGCTTCATACTAGTATCACCAGATTTGCCTCCTAATTTTTTTGACTTCTTCCAATCCTTTCCCATACTGAGCTTAACAATTCCAACTCTTTCAAACTATGTAGCTCAAAAACAACAACTTAAACTAATTTCTAAAATTAAACCCTCTCAATCCAATCAATAAACACACACACACAAAAGTAACAGGACTTAACAACAACAACAGATTCAGTGAAGTACACAAGTGGGGTCTAGGGCGGGTAGTGTGTATGCAGACCTTACCCCTACCTTGGGAGGATAGAGAGGCTGTTTCCGATAGACGCTCGGCTCAGGAAGGAAGAAAAGAAATAGTAGAAACAGGACTTAACTGGTAAAAAAGTTGAGTCTTTGCACCAGAATCCAACACAATAAAAAACAATCAAGAAAACCCCCAGATAAGGAAATTCACCAACCAAAACAAAGCTTAAAATCAGAACAATTCACCACAACCCAAACACCAATAAATCAAAAAAATCCAATCTTTTTCTCTTAATATACCAAGAAATAGCTTAAAGAACTGAGCTTTAGCCCCTAAATCAAAAGGGTCTTCTTTAGAATTTGTGTTTAGCACCAGTAAAGCAAAAAAAATCCAAACTTTTCTCAAAATTCCAAGAAATAACTTATAGAACTGAGCTTTAGCCCCTAAATCCAAAAGGGTCTTCTTCAGAATTAAAAAGAACACAATAAAACAGTATAAATCCAGAATACTGAATTTGTTCACAACAAACCCCAATTTAAGAAAAGAAAAATGAAGATAAACACCCCTTTATTCAGCTGCAAACAATTCTTCTCCTCAACCAAGATTCTTGTTTTTTTTGTTTGTCTTTTTTTCTTTTTTCTTTAATTTTTTGAATTGAGGAGATAATTAAAAATAACTTATCTGTATATTTTCAGCTTGCTTTTGAACACCCTTCAAAATTTTCTTGCAGATTTCAAGAGGAAAATGCGTTGAGACTAATGTTTTTCACAAGGAATATATGTTTATGCAGAAATGAAAAAAAAATACCACCAATGCCTCCACCTGTTATTTAAGTTGGAAAAAAAAAAGGAAAATTTAAATTTGGAAAACAAAAATAGAAAGTAAAAAAGGGTGTCTTGTACCTTTACGCAAACGCCACAAAAAAGTTTGTCAAAATATTCAACAGTTAAATATTTTGTTATTTAGATTTGTGTTGATTTGTGTTTTTTAAAAAACAGGAAAAAGAAAGATTATGTTGATTTGTTTTTCTTTTCTGTAAACAGAGATGTATAATTATTTATTCTATATTCCGACAACTACAACGTGGGTCCCACTAACCGTGTATTCCTAGATTGTGGGGGACGTTTGCAAAGAGTAAAATGAAAGCAACTGTCTCTTCTGTTTTTTTTTCCTCTCATTTTCTTTTCTTTTCCTCCGCCCCACAAAAATCAATAAAATTCTTTTTTTTTTGTTAAAAATATTCACATTTTTTTGTTTCTCATTCGATGTCCACGGTTCAGTATTCGTTTTGCCGTTCGATTATGTGACGACCCAAAGGGTCATCACCGGATTTTCTCTTTTCCGTGCTTCCGAGGCCCCGAAAACCTCGCTTTTAGTTGCTTCAATTTGCATGCGCAGTCCGGGGGCGAAGCCGGAAAGCTTTTATGTTGAAATATGTGAACTTTGTGAAAAATTTGAAGAATTTTGATATTAATATTGCTAAAGTTGACTTTGGTCAACATTTTTGGTAAACGGATCCGGACCCGTGAGTTGGCGGTCCCGGAGGGTCCGTAGAAAAATATGGGACTCGGGCATATGCCCGGAGTCGAATTTCGAGGTCGAGAGCCCGAGAAATGAATTTTTCTGTGAAATTATTTTTCTGAAATTATTAAGGAAAATAGAAATAAAAATTGATTAAAAGACTATGGTTCGGGCTCGTATTTTGGTTCCGACGCCCGGTACAAGTCTTAAATATGTGTTAAGCACTTTCTGTGAAGTTTGGTCGAAATCGGACGTCATTTGACGTGTTTCGGACCTAAATATCAAAAGTTTGAAGTTTATGAAGTTATAATGAAAAATCATGTGCCTTGAGGCTTGATTCTATGTAAATGATGTTATTTTGGCGATTTGATCGCGCGAGTAAGTCCGTAGGATATTCTTGAGGTCGTGTGCATGTTTGGTCTGGAGCCCCGAGGTCTCGGGTGAGTTTTGGATAGGCATCGGATTGCATTTCTCATGTTTTAAAAATCTGGTATGCTGGCTTCTGCAATTTTCGCAAATGCGAAGGGAAGACTCGCAATTGCGAGCTCGCAACTGCGAGCACTGCTTCGCAATTGCGAAGTCTGGGAAAATGGGGCACTGTCGCAAATGCGATCAATCTTTCCCGACTGGAAAAGTGCCCCGCCTTGACCTTCTTTACGCCTTGTGTTTGTAGCTATTGATTTACTTTAATGTTTTGTAGCTGAAAAGCTGCCGCCGCCTCCTTTGGAGGGGATCCGGGAATGGGTCGAGGCCGTGCTTCCTCATACTGCGGGGATTCGCGCATGGTCGACTTTTTGGGAGAGACACGGACGTAGGCCCCTGACAGGTGAAATAGCGGCCCTACATTTCTGTTTTGCCTTATTTTGACTTTTACTCATCGAACGTTTGTTTGTTGTGGTTAGGGAGAACTCGCCGCGTCAGAGCTCCTCGGTTAGCTTTCCGTCGACCGGCTGCGTCTGCTCGACTTACTGCGACGCCTGCGCCTCGTCCGGTGTCGAGGGAAGCATCGGTTGAATCGTCGGTGGCCGCCTCTCCGACACAGTCCGTGTCTCAGGACGTGGGGCCATCTGGGGCCACCCGCCCTCGAACTGACTCGCCACCAACCGGAGAGGAAGAAGGGCCATCGAAAAGGCGGAGGGTAGCATTTGTGGCGGCTCTTCCAACGGTAATCAATTTGGATTCTCCGCCAACGGAGTCAGAGGGAGAAGTTGTTGTGGCGCCTGCCGTTGGGAGGGGGCAGTTAGTTGAAGTTGCCCCCGTCAGTTCAAGCCAAGAGAATGTTGCTGTTTTGGAGACCCGGTCGGAAGTTCCCGCTGCTGAGGCGGAAGGTCAATCTCTAGGGGTCGCCGTTGAGACTTCGAACGCACCTTCGTCGACCACGGCGGGTGGTTCTGGACTATCGACGGCGGAGAGGGGAAAGAATGTGGTGGACGAGTATGAGTCCGAGTCTGATTTGGACCCCGACGACGTCTGTATGTTTGAGGAGGGCTTTACCGAACTCTGTGGTTCGCGTAGGGGGGCCGGCCCGTTTTATTGAAGTTTCTTCAGATCTGAACCTGCTGACCCAAGGAAGTAGCTTGGTGTCACAATTTGAGTTGATATGTTCGGAGGCCGAGAACGCGTCCCTGAGGAGCGTTTCTGATGTTGAGGTGATGAATGAAGTGGCCGTGATGGGCCTGAGGGTACGTAGCGCGACCCCAGCTGTTTCTTCATTGTCTTAGCATGGGCTTTAGTTTTAATTGTTCTCTCTGTTTTGCAGACTTACTTGCTGGAGGTGGAGAGCATCCGCAGAGCCAATGTCCGTTCGAGGATCTTTCTGCAGATGCTGGGAAAGTATCGCCGTTATCGTGACAGGTGCCGAGAGCTGCACGGGCGATTGAGGAACAATCCTTGTAACCGAGCTCTGGGAGAGGAGTTGGAAAAGCGGGATCGAGAGCTGCTGCAGGCGCTTGGTAGCAAAAGCGAGCTTGAGGAGCAAATCCGTATGAAGGATGAGGAGCTCGAGGTGGGAAAGAGGATTGCCGCTGAGTATGCGCATCTGCGGGATAAGTTGAGGGAGATGGAATTGGAGGCGGAGCAGAACCAGGTTAAGGCGGCGGGGATGGCCGTGGAATGGAGTGGGAAGTTGGCGGAGATGGAGGGCGAGATTGCTGCCTTGAAGCTTCGGGAGAGGGATGCCTCGACGAGGGCCAGGGCGTTGGAGGAGGCGATCCGCGTTCATGAGGCTGAACGAGAAACGGAGAGGACTATTGCGGCCCTCAGGGAAGATGGGCTCGAGGAGCGAATTTGTGTCTTTGACCGGGAGGCCCAAGTTCTGTCGGATCGAATTGCGGTCTTGGAGGAGGAGAACCAGCGACTGCAGGACCAAATTGGGTCGTCACACACTGCTGTTCCCAACCAGGCTCATGACCTTTGGGTCTATGCTGAAGCTCAACGTGATATCTTCAAGAACTTGTGGGAGGCAGGTACTGTGACCGAGGCGGCTTTCGAGGTGGCACGTCAGAAAGCTCGTGAGGCCCGTGCTAATTGTGGTTATGATGTGGCGACGCCCGAGGCTGACAATGGTACGAGTGGTGGCGAGGATGGCGCCGAGTGAAAGAATTTGTTCTTGTTTTTTTTCGTTCCGTTCGCCGGTTGGCGTTAGTATATTGTGGTTTTTCTTTGTTTTTTTTTTTATGTCGACCGGCCCTGGACGGGTGTAAGCGGGGATGACCCGCATTCTCAACTTTGTGGATAAATGAATTTTCTTTTTCGTCGTTTGTCTTGCGCCTATTTCGTACCTTCTTTTTCTTCTTTTTTTTTTGCAAACTTGAAGTGTCGACTTTTTGAGTTTGACGGGGGTTGGTGTATCAGCCCTTAACTGATGACGGTTCTTATCCTTCGTCTCGATATGAGCGAGGTGGAATTGGCGTTTTATGGCGAGGAAGCTTGGCCTCAGTTCCGGCTCGATTGAGATCGAACTAGCTTTGATGGCGAAGGCACTTGACCTTATCCTCAATTCGAGCGAGGTCGAACTTATTTTGATGGCGAAGGCACTTAGCCTTAGTCCCAGTTCGACTGAGGTCGAACTTATCTTGATGGCGAAGGCACTTAGCCTTATTCTTGGTTCGAGCGAGGTCGGACTTACTTTGATGGGGAAGGCGCTTAGACTTATTCTCAGTTCGAGCGAGGTCGAACTTACTTTGATGGCGAAGGCACAACCTTATTCTCAGTTCGAGCGAGGTCGAACTTACTTTGATGGCGAAGGCACTTAGCCTTATTCTCAGTTCGAGCGAGGTCGAACTTACTTTGATGGCGAAGGCACTTAGCCTTATTCTCAGTTCGAGCGAGGTCGAACTTACTTTGATGGCGAAGGCACTTAGCCTTATTCTTAGTTCGAGCGAGGTCGAACTTATCTTGATGGCGAAGGCACTTAGCCTTATTCTTAGTTCGATCGAGGTCGAACTTATCTTGATGGCGAAGGCACTTAGCCTTAGTCCCAGTTCGACTGAGGTCAAACTTATCTTGATGGCGAAGGCACTTAGCCTTATTCTTGGTTCGAGCGAGGTCGAACTTACTTTGATGGCGAAGGCACTTAGCCTTAGTCCCAGTTCGACTGGGGTCAAACTTATCTTGATGGCGAAGGCACTTAGCCTTATTCTTGGTTCGAGCGAGGTCTAACTTACTTTGATGGCAAAGGCACTTAGCCTTATTCTTAGTTCGAGCGAGGTCGAACTTATCTTGATGGCGAAGGCACTTAGCCTTAGTCCCAGTTCGACTGAGGTCGAACTTATCTTGATGGCGAAGGCACTTAGCCCTATTCTTGGTTCGAGCGTTCGGACTTACTTTGATGGCGAAGGCACTTAGCCTTATTCTTGGTTCGAGCGAGGTCGAACTTACTTTGATGGCAAAGGCACTTAGCCTTATTCTTAGTTCGAGCGAGGTCGAACTTACTTTGATGGCGAAGGCACTTAGTCTTATTCTTAGTTCGAGCGAGGTCGAACTTATCTTGATGGCGAAGGCACTTAGCCTTAGTCCCAGTTCGACTGAGGTCGAACTTATCTTGATGGCGAAGGCACTTTGCCTTATTCTTGGTTCGATTGAGGTCGAACTTATCTTGATGGCGAAGCTTCTGGGTGATTTTCGATCCCTGGCTTGAAACGTCCCTGTGCCGGTTTCCGGCCTTGCACCGCATTAGGGGTGAGGGAAACGCTTCACACTTCTGTCCTGAGGGAGAAGGGGGCTTCTTCTTCTCGTTTGGGCTTTTTCAAGATTGACTGGGCAGAGGATCTTAGTTTCCTTT